GGGCGTGTTTGTTTTGGTGATTTCAAATATCAACATTGGCTACCAGAAATCGCTTACCCTGCCTTTAACACAGTATCTTGGCTCAGCTGTTCAACTGTAGATAGCACATGTTTTCATCTCTCAAGTCTTCAGTGCAACTAACTTTAAATGCTTTACATTTGTGTAGCCAGTTGTGTTTATTCAAACAGTACTTGAGAAAAACAACAGTTAATCAACTAGACTTTTTCCAACTTCTGAAGAAAATGCAAGCGATGTAAAAGCCACGACTGCGATGCTAGGGTGTTCGGGTTCGGGCTTGTTTGATGATAATCAGAAATGTTTCTTGAGCAGCAAATCAGCTTATTAGAATGATTTCTGAAGGATCATGTGACACTGAAGACTGGAGTAATGATGCTGAAAATTCAGCTTTGATCACAGGAATAAATCTCATGTTAAAATATGTTCAAATAGAAAACACTTATTTTAAATTGAAATTATATTTCACAATACTACTTTTTTTGTATTTTCGGTCACATACAGTAAATGCAGCTTTGGTGAGCATAAAGAGACATATTTCAAAAACATTAAAAACCTCACCGACCCCCAATTTTTGAACAGTAGTGTACATTTTCATGACCACAAATATTGATTTCATATCATGCACATATACAAATTTGAATGCAATATTTTGATGCATGTGATGCAAAGTGATCTTACACGAGCTTGCAACAGGTATCCACTCGTAGAGTTCGTTGTGGTAAGGCACAGTGTTAAATTCACTGCACTGCATCTCTCTAAAGGAGGGATGTTTTCTGGCACACGGCTTCGTGTTGCAAATTTTGTAGCGCTTCCGTTCGCCTGTACAATATTTGCCTCCAAACTCAGGTCTGAACACAGAAACAAAAATCATGCTACAGATCATGTTCAGCAAAATGTACAAGAAAAGACAGAGAAGGCGGAGGGACTGAAATTGAAGAGACTCAAAAGTGGTTACTTAAATACTTAAAATGGTGTGGTTTTAAGACGCTAGTCAATTTATGACAGAGCCCTAACAGACCAAAAAGTTTGTAAAATAGTTACAGGAGTAGTAGACCCTCTAGTGTATTCTGCTGGTAGTACAGCAGATAATGGGCAGAAATGCACTCAACTTCACCTTTTATTTTGAAGCAATGCAAACAAATAATTTGATTAGTAAATTTTAATTGTTAATCTTCTTGGCACATAATTTATTTAATATCTATAAATTATATATATATATATGTGTGTAATTAAGCTTTGTCATCACAGGAATAAAGCACATTTTAAAATATATTCACATAATAAACAGTTATTTTAAATTGTAATAATATTCACAATATTACTGTTTTAAGTGTATTCTATATACACACACACACACACACAAAATATACTTTATAAAAATATTGATTTCTTTAAAACAAATCTTACCATATAGTTACAGTATATTTATGTATCTACATAAGCACATTGATATTAAAATATTGTGGTCTGTAAGAGTTTTAATGCTATTAAATGAAGTCTATAATGCTCACCAAGGCTGCATTTATTTGATCAAAGATGCAGTAAAAACAGTAATATTGTGAAATATTATTACAATTTTAAAAAACTGTTTTCTATTGTAATATATATTTAAATATAATTTATTCCTGTGATGCAAAGCTGAATTTCCAGCATCATTACTCCAGTCTTCAGTGTCACATGATCCTTCAGAAATCACTTTTGATAAATTTAATGCCTTCTTGCCAAAACCTTACTGAAAAAAAGAATGAATAAAAGAAAAGCACTAAAAGGAATAATGAATAGAAGCAGCAGTAGAGAGTGATGTGTACTTGGGTTGGTTGCATTCCCTGTCCGCTGACTGGACGCCGGCTCCACAGGTACGAGAGCAGTGAGACCAGGTGCTCCAGGGACCCCAACCTCCATGCACTGTTTCCGGTAACTTCCCTACAATCACACACTCACCAGAGATACACCACTGACACACATAAACACACAGTTAAATGCATAGTAATACAAAACGTTTTTCTAAATGTACAGTAAACCTCTCGTACCTTCTCAGGTCCACACCTGGTTCCGTCTATCGGCGAGTCCAGTTTGGAGCGGCAGGATCCATTTACAGAGCACCACAGAATCTGACACACATTCTGGAACCAAAAGAGCCTGAATTAATGGCTTGACAACCTGAAGATCCCCTTTCATTATTAGAGACAACTAAATATTTTAGAACCACATTTCATTCATCTTGAATGCATCACTCCTTACTTCCACTTCTGAGCAGAAGGTGGCGTTGGGTCCGTACTGCAGCTGGCACTGGTGCTGGGGGGTGTATCGCACTCCAGGTGCTGCCAGCGGAGAGCTGAGGTCCCTCTTAGATGGCCGGTCATCCAGACAGAAACCCCAACCACGACTGAGAGAATAACAGAGCTTTACGAATGAAGATCATAGTATGAAATACTCAAAACGTAGTGGTACGACATAAGATATAAAGCATGCAATTACATGTTCCTGTACATGAGTGTGTGTTCTCACTCGAGAAAGCGTGTGATGTACTCCTTGCTGCAGGAGGACCACATGAGAGGAGAGGAGTCGTAGTGGAGCTGACGGGACATGATGAAGGGATGCCTCCCGACTAACTCACAGTCATTCCCTTGACCGTCATGATGGATTCCAAAACTACAGCACAAAACAAGGTGACGTCACCTTTTTTCCTTTTTAAACATACAGTACCATTTAAAAGTTTGGGGTTGGTAAGATTTTCGAAATGTTTTTTTAAAGAAGTCTCTTTTGCTCATCAAGGCTGCATTTATTTGATAAAAATACAGTAAAAACAGCAATATTGTGAAATATTATTACAATTTAAAATAGCTCTTTTCTATTTGAATATATTTTGAAATTAAAATGTATTCCTGTGATGCAAAGCTGAATTTTCTGCATCATTACTCCAGTCTTCAGTGTCACATGATCCTTCAGAAATCATTCTGATATGCTGATTTACTGTTCATGAAACATTTGTGCTGCTTGATATTTTTATGTAAACTGTGATCAATTTATTTCAGGATTCTTTGATGAATATAAAGTTGGAAGGAACAGCATTTATTCAAAACAGAAATTATAAATGTCTTTACTGTCACTTTAATGCATCTTTGCTGAATGAAAGGTATTAATTTATTTAAAGGGGTCATATGATGCGATTTCAAGATTTCCTTTCTCTTTGGAGTGTTACAAGCTAAAGTTGCAAAGACTAAAGTCTCAAACTCAAAGAGATATTCTTTATAAAATTTAAGACTTGTCCACGCCTTCCTAAAATGCCTCGTTTAAACACGCCCCCACATGTCTACGTCACTGTGTGTGAAGATTCGCATAACACCGCCCAAATGTTCAGGCAAAGAAAGAAGGCGTTACTTTTATTCTCGCTGTAGTATTGTTGCTGCCGCCACCGCCGTGTTGTGGAGACGCTGTGTTTCGTTGAAGAGGACACGACTAGAAATCAGTGGTTAAGTTGTATTTACAACACTGTTCCAGAACAGTTCAACCCAAATATTCATGTGATGTGTGCAGCGCATTTTACGGAGTACGAGGACTGTTTCCTGAGAGAGTAGACTACAATGCCGGCTGTTCTGACTCACAGCCTGTAAGTACGTTTTCATATTTAAAGGATTTGCCGCTGATGATTCAAACGTGAGTTTTGAGCAGTGTAGAGTAGGGCTTGTTGTTTGTCATTTCTCCGATCACAAATGCAGACATGGTTTTATGTTCACGCGGTGCGATGCAACGTGTAAAAAGACAGTATAAGTCATTATAATCTGTAATTATATCCCCACTGGATGCAACAAATGCCTCATTTGTAATGGGTTTTAATGTTTTTGCCTCGTCGCTCCAGCCGGACACGGCATCATCACAGTATGGTAGGGGCGTAACATTTCCGTCACACACTTGAGGTATTCGGCCAATCACAACACACTGGATAGCTGGCCAATCAGAGCACACCTCGCTTTTCAGACCGATGAGCTTTGTAAAAATCGACGCGTTTCAGAAAGGCGGGGCATAGAGGAGAAACAATAATGTACAGTATGTGGAAAATAATGTGTTTTTTGAACCTTAAACCGCATAAACACGTTTCATTACATCAAATACACAAAATAATGGTCTTTTTTAGCAATGTCATATGACCCCTTTAAAAAAAAAAAGGATGCTTGAAAATGAAATGTTTTTGGCTTTGCAATAACATTCACCAGTGAATCATGCAATATAACACCAGATATGCATAAGTAAATTAATGTAGTCACATTTTTTGATAAATGTAACAGTTTGGTGTGCAATGTAAATTTTTATTTTACATTTATTTATTTTATTTATTATTTTATTTTTTAAATGTTGCATAGGAATGCCACCCAATTTTCATGCCATTATAATAGTAAAATTAATTATATAATATTTTAAAAAGATGTATTTTTCAATATATATTATTTCTAAAATGCTTTATGCATTTTACCAGAAAATGCATTTGTTTTTCGATTTCTGTTCAACCACATAAGACTGTGACGTTTCCACCATAAAACCACCGGATTATCTTTTTTTAATAAAAAATGTTATTATTATTGCTATTATTATTTCAGAGTGTCATCTTGTAAAACAAAATTTGTATCAGTTTTTAAAGAAAAAAATGATCTTGGCATGAACATTGAGCCTGAGGTGGGAAAAATGTGACCTTTCCAAATGCTGAATGAAAAATGAATGCCATATTCAGGCACCAATGGCACCATTTCATGAGAATGACCCACACAGACATACCTGTGTCCGAGCTCATGAGCGATGGTGAAAGCGACAGGTAGCCCTGAGTCCTCGTTGATATTACAGGAGCGATGCGGCTGACACATGCCCGACAGGTGAGACAAGCCCAGCGTCTCACACGGCTGATTCATGCCTGCGCAGATATTCTTCCTGAGAGGAGAGATCACATCAGGTCAGACACAGCACAGCACAACAGCTGCTTTGATTCTATTTATAGGCTACTAAAGTCATGCTGCAGGGGTAAAACTGCTGAAGAAGAGTTATGGCAGGGGTTGAATTCTTAGTCATTTATTTGGCTGTGTTCTGCATGCATGAGCTCTGGAGAATCTCAAAGCCTTGGACACAGAACATGGTGAAGTCATTCAGTCTGTGGAGTTCTGGGTTGAAATTAGAGCGTTTAGGGTCTGTTAAATGCTCAGAGACAAACAGCTCCATTACTGCAACCAAGAAACTGACATTTATGATAAATGAGAGTCAGCAGGTTCACATGTGTGTTTGACAGCACTTTATCTTTTGGTAATGGTATTATTATGCAAATGGTATTGTGCAATTGTTTCAGAGGTTTATTCCAGGGTACTGAGGTTTATTCAGCAATATTAAATAATTTCATGGACTTGAATAAATGTAGTTAATTTAGATGAAGATATTTAGATATTATTATTTAGATAATTTAGATGTTTTGTCAATGGACAACTGATTTTATAACCATATTATAACTATAACCATAAGAATGTATATATTTGACAAGAATGCATAGACTTGACAGTAATGAAATATTAATACAATTTTATACTAACTGTTTTCCATTTCAATATATTTAAAAAAAAAAATTTATTCCCATTGTAGAAGGTGAAGTTTTAGCATAGATTACTCCAGTCTTCAGTGTCACATGATCCTTCAGAAACCATTAATATAAATATTAGATTAAAAAACATTTTTAAAAAGAAGTACTAAAATTACTAACACTAAAACAATTAAAACGATGAAATAAAATGATTAAAAATATATTTTAAAACAAAAATGAATAAAAATGACAATAATACATAACAAAATAACAAAAATTAATATCAAACTAAAATATGATTATAAAAATATGATAAAAAGCTAATACAAAAATTAATTAAATATATAATAGTATAAAAATAATACTATATATATATATATATATATATATATATATATATAATAAATATAAGAA